TACATAACCATCCATGCAGCAGAGTGTACATGCGGAATGACCCATGGTATACACGACCAACAGTGGAAGAGAAAAAAATGTGAAACCACTTCTTCAGCAATCGCACTCATCCGATGAAATAATAATGCATGTTAAGGAGAAGTGCCGGAAGGATATAACTCGCATCGACGGTAAAAATATGAAAGCCGCAGTTACTAAAGGTAACGTTGACGTACTTGTTAATTACTTAAGGTATTTCGAGCCGTATATTTTACAGGTAAATTTGCGTTTTTATGACTCCGTTTTTAATGTATGTCGACCGAAACTTAATTAATTAGTGTTCTTATATACGGAAAGTTGTAATTTTCATTCCCGTATTCGTGTGTACAATGCCTTAACTGGAAACAGGACACAAGCACTACCATCATTGCACCTGTAATATTCAGTTCATAGTTATCTTAACGTTTTTTGTTACACCTTTTGTAGTTAACCATGTGATGCAGAATTGTAAACAATGGACGTGGTCACTCAACTTGTTCGCATCTCAAAGTACGTCAGCATTTATCCCTCGAAATCAACGTGACATATTGAAAACCAAAAAGAATATTGTCAATGCGGGCGTTACGAGAATTAGTGACAAATTTGGAGAAGTGTTTGCCAATACTTATGCAGACGGAGCAATCGCAGGAATCAATCGTATTCTTAATATGTAAATAAACTAAATTTGTATCATAATTAAAATAAACTTTTCATGTAAACCTTGTTGTCTTTCAATTCATGTGTTCCCTTTGTGAGCACGGCATGGTAGACCGGTGCTCCCTAGGACTTTAACTACTAACTATACGTAAGTGTAATTGTGCAGGAACGATGTCGGTCGTCATACGTGTTAAATTATAAGTATTTTAGTGAAGTTACGTGGATACTTCTCATAGTCAAATAAAAGTCTTTAGGGACAAATGACAATAATAGGCGTAAATTAGGCACTGCATTCGAGTTCCAGTTCTTATACGGTTACGTGTATTCGAAAGGATTCCATTACTAATGTTTCACTTAAAGCGTGATGTCAATCCATATGACTAAGAGGCTGTTAGCATGTAGCGTAAATTGTAGTCTACACGAGACAAATTATTGAATTCGTTGAGCTTTAGCAATCGTAGTTAGATTAACCTTACACTAAAATATGCCACCAATTACTTTGTCAGGTCTCATTAATAAGTCATGCCTGCATCTAGTCATCATGACAAATATAGCTACACTCAGATAGAATAAGAAAGGTCTGGTAAGCAGGATGTTAAATATATTTAATGAAAAATAATAACAAGCTAATGTCTTTACGCAGTCGTTTGTCGTAATAATTTGGGCAATGTCGAATCACTGTGACCGGATCTACTGACGTTACCGGATATCTGCAAATAAGTAAACAAAGTGTTTTTTAAATCGCTGAAATGAGAAAGAAGTAATATTAAAGTTAAACACTTTATATTTGCCTACCTTTGTCGAAAATGGTTCATTCTCTTCTTCTAAAGAATAGCAGCAAGCATATAATAATAATAATTACAATTTCATAAGTCGTATAAACGAATGTTTACAAAGAATGCATGTCATTTCTACAGGCGCAATAAGTTATGTTATAAACTGCAATCGTGAAGTATCATAAATTAGTGCATCTTCAAAAGTTTAAGTCGTTCAACTATTGTACGAGTAATTAGAACAGGTTATGATAAGAGTTAAATTGTAACCCCTCCACAATGAACACTGTTCATTTGGCTAAGTGCTATGTCCTTGGAATGCTAGTATACATTTGCAATGTTTAATGCCAACCATATCGGTGTAAGCATAGAAAAAATGACGTTTTCCTTGAAAATACAGCTTTGTTCAAACACTGGTGCTGTTGTGTTTCTAATAAAAGCAACTAGACTGTAAGCAAGCAACTAATAGGCACAAAGAGTAAGTCTCAGCTTTAATAAAGGCATATCCAGTTAAGATAAAATGTAGTGTAATAGTGCGCAAATGAAAAGACCATCGTGAAGTAGATAAGTGACATTTCAGTGACAGGTAAATTGAAAGATCTGCAACCTTACAATTCGTAAGATAACCTGACATGTAAGATCTCTCACAAATTCCTGTAGGGCCTGTGGGATACCATGGATGGTTTGAAGTCAATCTGAGCTTTGGAAGGATGATTTACAAATGCAAAAGGTAACAACCAACGAAACTGCAGTAGTATTTTCTAGCTGTTCGGCATTTTTTCCTTTGATGCAGTTTCTTATAAACAGTTTGCAGTATTCATAGTGAGTTTATAGGAACCTTCATTGTATCATGATTTTCACCAAATCTCCCTTAACTCACAGAAGCAGGCAGTAATCCCATACACTCAAGCATTGTAACCAGAACATCACAAAATGCTTGCAGATAACTTGTTTAACAATAACTGCTTTAAATATGTCAGCCATAAGTGCATCTTCCATATCTTTTATAGCCACAATTAAGTCATTAAGGATCTCAGAATATCTTAGTGATCTGAAACAAAATAATTATTAAGATTGATGTAACCTATGTAACAGGTGTAGTAGTTGTATGACACAGCTGCTAGCTACTAATCAACAGAAAGCTGATACTCATTTTAAGTACTCTGACATTTGAGAAGGACTATTTATACTATTCTTTGGGACGCGATGAACACTGATGTCAATATAGTCTGATGCCATTTTATGCACTGAGCAATTAAGGCCTTCTTAAATTCCATGTGCAAATGTCAATTAAACTATGATCACATCTTCGCCCAAGCAGTTTTAACTAGAAACTTCATCAAAATAGATGTAATCACCAGGAAATTCAGCAGCCTGTCTCATTCATCGCATGATGTCGTCGATGTGTTATGGAATATTTCAGTCATCCCGGATGATAACAGAAGTGTTTAACATCCTCAAAACACACATCTAACCTATGCTGCAGGCTATTTCTTTTTCACATGCCTGATTCTCATAGATTCCCTGGAATGACAACAGGGATTGCCTGTAGTCTATTTACAACCTTAAGATCTGATACAACTCGCAAAAAACAAACCCTCAACGTACTATAAAGCAAATAATAGTCTTTCTATGCGAACTATCTTAAAAAGGATGACTTCTTTATTAATAATTCATCCGAGCTGTAATACACAATTTTGCGCTCTACTACGAACAAAATACAGCAAAATACTGCCATCTGGCTACAGAAGTCTAAAACTAGTCCAATATGATATATTTCCAAAAAATAGGCGATTATAACGCCTGTAGCCGTGAGCGCGGCAACCAATAAAACTGCGCGAGAACAGCTTGTCATAGCCTATATCCCCACACTGTACTTACCTCAATATTGGTTGGTTATCGGATGCCGACAACCACGGGATGAAAACGAAACGAAGTCGATTTTCCCGCGAAACCTGGAGGACAACTGTACAATTCAATAACTATACGGCTTGGTTCAGACAATCAGTGTATTTATATATATATATACATCAAATATTTAGCTGTTGAATCATGATTAACTTGTAGACAATCTACGGTTTGTGACTATATTATACTTGATCGTGCCTGTAAAAATGGCATGCATTTTCATGTAAATTTATGTTTATATGCGAATACACATTATTATTATAGTAGTTTTGGAGTTAGAAAATAAGCACTTGCGCACGGCGTATCACTACATACCGTTGGATATAATTCATCTGCTATAATATTTTATACCGGAATCTGGGCGTCTAACGTACCTTCTCTAATGCTTGCGATGCGAGTATTTGACATCTGTCTACATATTCAACGTATTTCGCCACCCTCATTGTCTTTGTGAACATGAAACACCCAATTTCCATTTCACTTTTATATTCGTTTACAATCCTCTTACTGCTAAAAGTCAACGAGTTGCAATAAGCGAGTGCACAGATGTATGTATTCGACTTTTACATTTATCCCCATAAAATTTCAAGGTAGGTAATCGATGAGCCCAAGTAATTTGGGTGCTCAAATGGAGGCGCGTTTTTAAGATGCCAGTACGCGTGAATATTTCATTTCTAAGTCCAACTGGGGGAACAGGGATTTCAGGTGTATTTTCGAGCCTTGGTTACTCGTTATTTATATTTAGTAAGTTCACCTAGTGACTTACAGGGGGAGAAGGTTTGCCTTAAATTTTCATGTATCGAATGCTCTTATTAAGTTAAGTAAATTATTTTGGCTGGCCACTGTTCTTCAGTGAGCCTGATCAACAATACATTGTAGCCTTATTCCTCGAAGAATCAGTGTGACATATTTCGATCAACATCGGATAAGAAAGACTGGCAATAAACTACAAAACTAAGTAAAATTAAAGAAATCAGGGTATTGAGAGCACCTTACGAATGTAGGACCTTATGATTATCATTGCAGCTTTCAGAAGAACGTCAGTTTCCATATCATTTCGAGTTTGTCTGTGACTGCCAAAATAATAATTTAAATTGTTTACAGCAACAGATTTTGAAAGGAATCAATAACGAGAAGCTGCCAATGAGAACTAAGTGGCCATGAAGGCATTTATTCAGACCTAAAAGGGCAATTTGAGTCGTGAATGAATGAATTAGCTTAGGTGTCATCAACGCAATCAAATTCCTATTGGATTATAGAAACATAAATTATCAGCAGACATGGATTTCTGAAATTCTTTCGTTCTGATCACAAGGCTACAGGTTACAGTACTGACTGAATGCATTAGTTCCAACATTCTGTTTGAAAGACGAAAAAGTCCCCTAGGTTATTTAACTGAAGTGATTGTTTAAAGCACTCCTTGTAGGCTAAAAATACACTGGATTCATGAAAGAAATATGAAAGCCGTTCGTCCGGAATAGAAAACATTCTTCGTAACAAATCTATAATCACTAACGAGCTAAAATATGATTGCTTATTTTTGAATACATTTCATGTAACTCGTCAACAGCTTGGTTTTCTGTCCATTTTGTTAATTTTCTTATCCTGAATTTGGAACTACCAGTTTAACTACTTGTTATGAAAGTGACAAGAACCACTTTTAGTGTATTTTCGTTTAAACGCACTAGTTGGTGGACAATGCCTAGCCGCGTTTCAGGTGATGAAGCCAAGGTCACTTAGTTTGGAATTCCTTGCATCAGAGGGTTTGGTGTCGTTTTTGGAGAATGTTAGTAATTTGGACCTATGTCCTCAAACACTGAGAAACCAAATACAGCAATCAGTCAAGAACACTACTGTGTCATTTCACCTAATTAATGAGTGCTACGATTTGACCAGGAAATTATCTGGCAATGGTAACGACAGAATATATCTTCCATTTTGGCGTATTGCTCAGCTAACGTCAATTGTCCTACCGAAAATTAAACATGTCCAGAAAGAGACTCGTTCAGATGCTCATTTCGAAGAACTAAGAAAAAAGTATGAGAACAATTGTTACGAAAAAATGACAAGAGATTTTGGATCGTCCCTTGTCTTCTCAACTGCCTCGAGGGTCAAAAGAACAACAGTTTCTGATTTCAAATGCCTTAACAAACAGCTTATTATGATCCTTAACTTCTGTATTATTGTGGCCTCTGGATTTGCTTTCGGATACTTTGTTCCTGATATAATTTTTTCTGGTAACTCAGTGTCCCTCTTTACGCGAATAGTATGTGCTCTTTTGAGCTCGTCTATTGTTTTAGCCGCTGACCTTTACTTTTTGATAAGGAACTTTAGTTTGATTGAAAAAGCTTACGGGTGATTATCTTTTAAAATTAATATAGATATTTGCCTAATTAACAATGTTAATTTTATTACCATTTCGTGGTGGCTGATTTATTTTAAATACTGAGGGACGTTAGTGCTTAAGTAGACGGCTGCTTTTCTTAATGTCTACGAGAGTTTATACAGAATACAACACTCCTTTTTCTGCGTAATAATCGTGTAAGGTCATTGGGCACGACTTCATTTCCAAACTTCCACGAGCAAGGGTTCTCTAGCTTTTCGAATATTATATGTAAATGATATCTGTATATACTCATTTAATGGGACTGGTAAAGAACATTAGTTATGTGCCTTAATTTAAATTTCTTTTTTATCAGAGGCTAGAGTTTATGAATCCTCTTGTGTGGAATTATAAACAGTAATCCCATACTTTTAAGTTTGAGTTTCCGGTTAATATCTCAGACCATAATCAAAGTTATAAATTTGCAGGACAATGCTGAAACAATTAATTTTCGCTGTCGAAGAGCCACACTTAGTAGCTATAAGTTGTCATAAAGTCAGCTACCAGTATCCCTCAATACACTAGTATTTTATTGCCTCAACTGTTCTGTATTAAATCATGATGTAGACGCCTCGAAATTTCAGACCAACGAAGTCTTTGGTTGTGTAGGCCTCGCCATTAGGACTCTCTTGGGATTCACTTAAGCAAGCAGATTATACAATCCATAGCCTCGGTACTAGTTCTTAGCGTTGTGCTCATGAACATTGCAGTAAATGCGTGAAGGTATTCCGTATTTATTTTTGGCAGTCTGCCAAAAGTTAAACAATTGCACGCGCTATTAAACAGCTATTTCGGACGTATAATTAGGGCTTTTTTTACAGAAGTCCTCGCAAAGAAAAGCCAATAATAATCACTTCGCAGTTGCTTCTCCGGTCATCGCTTGAAGTGAAGTCCTTAGAGAAAATCCATTAGGTTCTTTAAAATACTAGTTAAAACGTGGACGCGGCTGAACCATGTTGATATCAACATTTTTTTGAAAGGACCGACGTAGAGTTAATAATTTTTCGATACCTACTCAGATCCTTTGTTCAGTCTAAGGGAGCTAATTACTAATTACAAGAAGTGCTTGATCCTGTGGTCACGTAATTGATCAGTTTTTAATGTGTGCCACTTGTTGGTCATGCTATTATTCCTTTGTTGTATAGTAATTTACAGCGATAGGAGTACTATTAGAACAATTCGGCAACCTCTTAAATGATCAATGTGAAGTGTTAAACTGCCAACTTCAGTGTGACGGAGTTCCAACATAGAACTCCGTCTGTGTTGAATGCGTCTGATCAAGCCTTCTGCGTTCAGATCAATCGTACCAGGGTTTTCTCCCATAAGATATGAATAATAGTAAATATGCACAACCTAGGGGACAATTGCAGTTGTGGAATATTAATTAGACTGACTAGAATATAATAGAGCGCTTATCATGATAAGAAATATGCGACTTGAGCATGAACTGGCAATTGAAGCATCAAACAATTGATAAGATAGTGGATCTCCGATACCCATCGTGACTGGAACGTGTTAGGCATCTAGAGGAGTGTTCGCTTAGATGTGACTAGGGGGTAACTAGGCGGAAAAATGACATAAGAAAGAAAACCCTGATTGTTGGTGAGTCTGCCAGTCGGGTTACTCTGTACATTAGTGATTGACTTTGTGGCTCATAATTGTTGACAACGGCTGAAATGCATTCATGATCTATTACTTACGAAGTTTTAAATATCGCTGATATGTATCTAGTCAGTGTTCCTCTTCATATTTGTGTTCATCCGTTCCACACGGTGTTCTGTGTCGATTTGAACTGCTGCCCCTCTCTGCAAAGTTCTACTTTGAGACCAGTCATTGTCTCAGTTTGTGTTGATTTGTACTGTGACAACTTAGTGAGATGCACGTATCCTTAAAGTTAGGAGTAGACCTGTTCATCGTTTGTTTTTTTAAGGATTTCTTTCTCAAAGATCATTTGACAGACGTGAGGTACAGAAAAACATTAATAATAATGGTTTGTTTTCATTGTCTTTCCCGACATGAGTGAAAGCAGAGGGAAACTAAGAGTTACAACACCACCACATCGTTTATGATTATCACTAAAGGATGCCTATCACTTCAAAACAATTAAGAATTTCTTGCGGCGATACAAATATAGTTGATTTCCATTTTCCTTTAGTTTCTCCGCGTTATGCTGTTTCTCCCTATTCTCCTAATCGTATTAATATACTTGTTGGTTTTTTCCTCACATGAGGGTAAGTAGATAAAACCAGACAATTAAGATTTGCAATTAATTCTACACAGGTGTGTAGAGTGTCTATTTGCAAAAATAGATGTAGTTTTGAAGAATCGAAGTATTCGACCACATATGTAAATTTGCTCCTTCAATATTGTTACCAATTATGCAGTTATTGTTTTTCAGCCTGCCTATCATCTACTATATTTTTTAAAATTCCACTTCCACGACTTCAATACACCGACGTCCTAGAGTTTGTAAATGGTGTGACTATTAAAAATACTTTTTGATACTGTAGAGTATATATTACTGTTTTGTCATAACATTATAACGTGGTCACTGTGGATATTGCTGTTTTCATTCACATTCAAAAAGTTGTTATATACAATTGTGGATTCCTGATATCCCGGTTTCCCAATGTTGCTTATCTGACTGCTTTGTGCGTCGGTGGCACAGCGGTTAGGACGCTCGCCGACCGTGCACATGGTCCGGGGTTCGATCACCGGCCGACGCACCTTTACCTCGCTAAGCCAGCAGTGAGACTGATAAAGCGGGAAGGTTGAGCATGAGGCTAGCAACCACATCCTGTAAAAATTAACAGGGCTACAGAAACTTCTAGCTTGGAGCCCTATGTTCCACTGAGAACGTGAGGGAAAAAATTACAGCTTGCCATAGGACTTTTGTTCTGTTGTTTGCGAAACAATATGGAAGCCCTCTAAGACTTTTCTGCTCTCGAAGTCCCATATTACTCATAGATATAACTGTATTGCTATCCAGTGGTTTTCGTAACTGTTATTATCACTTTCGTGGTGCGCATCACTTTGAAAGTTTCACCTTTTTGGGAACACTAGCAATTTATTGTATCCAAAAATTGCGCAAAAACTGTAATTGATATAAACCTGCCATTCTGCTTCTTATATGGACTGCGTTGGAACCTTTCTGGGTATTTGGAGGTTCAGGAAACCATGTAATTCCTTGCGTTGACGATCATTACATGATTAGAATATCCTAACATTATTCACTCCACTTAATAGAGAAGGATTCCTGGAACATACTGACCTTCTGGTAACAACAGCAGATTAAGCCACAGGTTATTGATGAATGTAGCTGTCTTTTATTGACTTGACCTTCTGTTGGTACACCAGGAGTTCATATCTGTGGTTCTACAACTTATACATACAATAAGCTCAGCTCACTGACTAGAGAACGACTTTACATGTGGTGTTGGAATTGCACAATTTTCTAACCTGTAGACGAAACAACAATAAAAGCTGGGAATTTAACTAAGTTATTGTCTTAATCATGAGATGGGAGTAAGTACTATTACCCAACTCTCAGTGAGCAACGCGCATTAACTTACCACAGTGGTTGTGGATTTTCACTATAGTGTGTTTAGAGGTAGACTGGATGATATGTGTAGTAACTGTACTTTCGCAAAGTTCTCTTCAGCATTGATACAATTCAAATATATGCCTCATCTTATTTTACTGACAAGGGTTTGCCATAGATTCGTGTGAAAAATAATTATTGCGAGGCATTAACTCAGCGACGACTAAAGGTAGCATTGCACGTAAGATGATAATTTGTGATTCTGCTTGGGCAATCGACTGTCAGCTGTCCAGTCCCAGGCTCGAGTCCAGCTCTACTTCAGTCTAGATAACTGAGTAGCATTACCAGCCGCAACAAAATAAGTGTAGCTCCTAGACCGGTACATGGGAAAGCCATTCCGGGTGACTGAGTCCTCACAAGGTGAGACTTATGTACTTCTCTGTAACTTTTTTTCATGTCATTAAGCACTGGTGTTTTCCACCGTATTTTTTAACAGACTAGTTCTGTAAATGAGTACTTCACGGTCTTTTTGTTTAAAATCTATTGGCCTGAATTCACTGTTATCAATGCAGTTACTTGATCTGATAATTTGGTAAATACTGATTAAGCTAGTGTGCTAAGTGTTCTGTGTGTATATTTCACAGTACTGTTCAAAAATAAAATTATTTGGTTCCAGTAAAAACTTCCTGCAGATTAAAGTGTCTGTCGTTACTCATCTAAACCAATAAACTCACGAGTCACTATACCCTCCCGAGGGTTATAAAAACAAACGATCATGTATATGAGAAGTACAGAATACCATTTTGTTGAATGGATCACAAAACAGTGACCCTCGACCATCATACATATTAAGACTCATGCTGATTATCCTACGCTGCAAATAAGATTATTGTTCACAATAGATACACTATAAATGGAAGTCTGAGCATCCTGGACAATTGGAAATAGGATCATGAGATCTGAATTACGGTGTGGCTAAGTAGGTCCACACAATGCAGCCAGTACACATTCCTCTACCAAACTATCCTGAGCTGATCTTCAACTTACTGGGTTTTGTTGGAAATTAAAACAACCATTATATATCGTGAAAGGAATTACAGCATACTACCATCGACAAAAGTTTCAGTGCTATCTGCTTCGAACTGGGTAATATCGTAAATCCTAATGGACTGAGTATCAAGGCACTGACATACGTGCAACTTTACATTCATAATGATTTAACTTCAGGGGACGCGTCTTCACAACCGCCTCGAAAGTGTTAGGAACAAAACAACTTGGGGAATAGAATATTTTATTTACTTTGAACTATGATGTACATCTCTCTACGCTTTTCTTTTCTAACTATTCTGAAACTGATGCTCGCTTCTGTAATAGTCGACGTTCTCGTTCATATTCCTTCATTCGAAGTAGTCGATCTTCCTCATGACAATTCAAGTACATATGTCTTAAATCAGAGCAATAAAAAGCTGGAACTACATGCTCCCTTTGACATTTTCTGAAGGCGACCAGAATGTGGGCACAATAGTCCCGCTCATGAGATTTTAATCCTGCAGCCATCATTTCCTCCTCGGTTAGCTGAAAGTAAAGTCAATAGAAAGAGTAATCTAATATTTATAAGTTTCTCATGAAAGGTTGAAATACACAAGTCTCATCAGTAGTCAATAAGTGATTTGAGGCAAAAGTCTGATAACAATCGTTAGTGAACTTATACTTCTTAGCATCGTCACAACAGAATGAGATGTCGTTTCGAGTTAGACATAACCCAAGAGGTTTTCTTAAGTGGGGGTAATATGAGCTTACTACCCTTGGAAGCTATATGCATTTATTGTGCTAATTAAATTGTGAAGCGGGATTGAATGTTTTTCCAGTTTTGTTTTCCGAGCTGGTTGATTTAGCAGCATTCAGGACTGATCCATCCATCTAACAAACAATTGTTTAACATTCGTATTTGTCTATAAAGAACATACAGCACTTGGAACGAATAACTCAGATTTGGAGTGACCAGTTAAAGCTTGGGAAATATCTACTCAAAGTTATTTCGTCATACTTATAAGAAATTAGCATTTAATATTATGCGTAAAATCAAGAGTTATGACATGTAATACTATTTCTTATCTAGTCCCAATGGACTATTTCAACTTACTTTCTTGACCTTTAGAGTAATACACTTTCTATCTGGTCGACAAAGAGATCAAATTATCCATTATCTAACAATCACAGGTCGTGAGAGTATGCTGCTTTTCAGATACGCGTAAGGACTTCAGTGACCCTTGAATTTATCCTATGTAGATATTGTGACACCTCTAGAGAGCTTGCACTTTCAGTTGAAGCCCTAGTTCCACTAGGAACCCAAGGGAACAGTAATAATAGAGAGTTTGCTGTTAGGCTGCCTGAAGGTTTGATAGCCAGTGTTCATTTTTATTTACATCACCAATTTTCAAGATAAGAAATACGTCTCTTCATTGGATGTCAATAATGTGTCTGATCTGCTGGATAACCTCTGTGACATGACTCAGTTACAACATAGATGTTTGCACAGAAGTTCAAGGTGCCACAGTTTATGTAATCCGCAAATGTAGAATAAAGAGATTTGAAAGAAGTATAATGAGTTGAAATATGCTGGAGAAAGGATAGTGACACGGGAAGTCATAAGGATTTATTATAGATATAGGATATTATAGAGTGAATGCATCTACGCTACTGAGGACGATTTTGAGCCATATCACTAACAGTCTCAAGCCATTGGTTCTCAGGATCCCGAGGACCACGGTCAGGTAGCCTAAACTTCCCGACGTGGCTCCAGTCAACAGTTAGAGACCTCATGGACTGGTACCACGTCTTGATTCGACTCTTCTCCAACCTAATTGTTAGGTTATGTTGCAACTGGAGGGAGGTAGTAACTTGGGATGCACAACACGTGTCCTAGCCATCTCAACTGATGTAGCTTCATAATCACTGATCGACTTACCCTCCTCAAATAATACTCTAAATCCAACCTCAATACTGCTCGCCACGTTACACCACTTAACACGGGAGATAGAACACAAACATTTGTAGCCAAAGACAGCTAGCCTTTTTATACCTTCCACTCTCAATGGCCACATTTCATAGCCATAAAAAAGGACGGAGCGAACTGCAGTGCATCATACATCCTTTTACTGATAACCGAAAATCAAGTATAGACTAGAGATGGTATAAGTGAGCAAATTCATCATGAGCATTTTGAATTCTTGCTGAGACTTCGTTAGCAATCAGGACATTGGGGTTAACCCAACTTCCTAAATAGGCGAAATGATTGACAGTCTATCACTTCACTTCCTATCTTTTACCTGGAAGTCAATTCAAAAGAATTATGCATTATCATCTTACATTTTGAGGGGGCGAATCGCATGCCAAACACCCAGAGATTTCCGCTAAAGTTGTTAAGAATCTATTTTGTTAGTGTCTTCACTTAGAAGGATAATATCATCAACATAATTTAGGTCCAAAAGTTGTTTCCTGGTAATAAGTCAACTTAACACCTTAGTTAACTCAGACATCATCCTTTAATACCTCTGGAGTCATCCTGCTGCTTTGTTTCGTTTCAGAGCAGAGACAGCCCTTGTAACCTCAGATAAAACTAGGGGACCGATGTTGACATCCGATCCAGACAGGTGTCAGATCCTGCGTAGATTGAGCGTGGCTGTAGGCCAGTTAAACTGCGCACTAAAGTGTTGCTCCCAAAGTGCAAGCTTTCCATCCAAAGAGCTAATTAAGGAAACCCCTTTCTCGGAGATTGTCCCGCTGCCTCTGTGCCCATTTACTAACATAAAGTTAGAATAAATCTAAACGATAGATCGCTTTAAAATTTACCCAATCCTTTTCCAAATGCAAAACACATTCAGTACATTAGTGTGCTGAGTGGTCTTGAGATATGCTTATAATGATTAAATCCGAAAGAAGAGTAAGGAACTCAGGCTTCAGAATTTCGGTTGATCAAACACATGATGTCGACTGCTAGCTGCAAATCTATGTAGGGATGCAACTATTTGTAACTAGCGCTGAAAAGGAACACTAAGAGATCTTGTCTTCATCTGGTAGTCAAAACAGAAATATCACACTCGGACAGTAGTGAACAGCAGCTGATGCATTTTCACGTCGTGCGATGAGAGTAACAACACTTTTAGAAGAAAACATCTAGGATTTACTCATAAAAACACAGTTCGCTTAAGAAAAAGTGACACAAGCCTTAAGTGACTCTCGAATTCGAGGAACCTGCAATTAACTCAAAAAGTATTTTCCATTGAGGTTGCTTCAAGCTTTTCTCGAGAGTGACTTGTTATAGACATCCACATATAATATAAAACTGGATTTCTTTAAGTTGCTCCTTGAAAGAGTATAAAGTGAGATAAACAGATAGATTTAGAATGGCAATATATTACAAATTACGAGTACAAGTTGGTACGAACGTTTAAACCATTAGTAGTAGAATGTGCTTGCATCTGCATAAATTTATTACACTAAGGGCGTTCACACAAAATTTATAACGCCTGAAACAACAGTGAGGCTGCAGCAGATATTCACAAGCGATCAGAGCGACAAACAGTCCATTAACTATAATGACTGTCACAATTCTTATTCAACACAATTATATACGTACTGATGGGAGTCATCCTGCTCGATGTCTTAGGAAGTAAATGACAACCACGCGAACACCTTGTTGACAGTACAAACTTTCTGAGTTCATACGCTGATAAAAACTGTATATTAAATAATTATCTCTACGTTTGGCGAGTGATTCACCTCTGTATGATGACACAACAGAATTAACTTTATCAAGTGGAATCCAAATTGCCTGAATAGGAATGATGGACTAAAACAGAATCTGACCTGGCTACAACACCCTCCTTCATGAAGTAGCAAAATCAACGCAAATGTGATGAGCAAGTTCACTATGTAAACACACACTACTTTCATAATTCTACACACTGATAAAATCCAACAATCTACACTTGATTTTGTTATCTTTACCTATTCTCCAACTTGACAACCAAAAATGACCCCAGAATAACGAACGATGATCAAGTTAGTAAACTTTATTTTGATATAACAGATATACTGTTACCTTTGATATTTGGTTTGAACGACCTTCATTGTTATTTTGACTTTCAATATGTCCTTTTAAGTTGAACTAAGTCTATATTCTTCTCACCCCCTAACTCTTTGTTATATATATGCTGAGATTTTGTAAATTCCGGTTTAATAATACTTTGAGAAAGCTATTAGCATTAAATAGCGAAACGTCAGTAGAAACGATCTCGTTTTGTTTTTCATTCATTGGGAAATACAAAAATCTCTATTATAATGAATATCATAAACCCAATGCCCAAATTTTTTCAAACCATTAGAAGTGAACTTGGTTTGGACATATATAACTTTAGTAACATTTAGTTTGAGCAGAGTAAAATGACTGGATGTGCTGATTAATTGTTTCATATGTTGTACCACTCCCAAGAAACTCCTTGCGGAAAAATATCTTAGCGGAGATACGTTGGGATCGTTCGTCACTTGTCAACTTTGCCATCAGTGATGCTCTCCTCACCTAAGAGCATGGGTAGTGAGTAGTAGCTTCCTATAAGCCTACTAAATATAAAAATACAATGAGGATTCTGACAATACTCGCCATCAACTGTTCATACTGAATGGAGAAAAATGACAAGTAATGGTGTCATGACGCATGTGCAATATATATATATATATATATATATATAAACGAACGATCCCAACGTATCTCCACTAAGATATTTTTCCGCAAGGAGTTTCTTGGGAATGGTACAACATATGAAACAATTAATCAGCACATCCAGTCATTTTACTCTGCTCAAACTAAATGTTACTAAAGTTATATATGTCCAAACCAAGTTCACTTCTAATGGTTTGAAAAAATTTGGGCATTGGGTTTATGATATTCATTATAATAGAGATTTTTGTATTTCCCAATGAATGAAAAACAAAACGAGATCGTTTCTACTGACGTTTCGCTATTTAATGCTAATAGCTTTCTCAAAGTATTATTAAACCGGAATTTACAAAATCTCAGCATATATATAACAAAGAGTTAGGGGGTGAGAAGAATATAGACTTAGTTCAACTTAAAAGGACATATTGAAAGTCAAAATAACAATGAAGGTCGTTCAAACCAAATATCAAAGGTAACAGTATATCTGTTATATCAAAATAAAGTTTACTAACTTGATCGTTCGTTACGAAGTCTCAGGTACAACAAGTTTTGTACGAGACCTTTTAAAGATGCTTGAAAAGAACTGTTGTTACTCTTTAGTGAAGCATGAGGTCTAGAAACGCTTTTACATATAATGCAGGTGGGAAAAAATCCAGCTTCATGCAGTACGCGTCATCAAAAAATGCATATATCATATATAATTCCCACCTACTGGCATACTTTACCAATTTCGAATTATTCATCGCAAGACATGTTTCAAACTTTATCAAAGTCCCATGTGTTTAGGGGAGTGAACGATCCCAATGGTGTTAATAGCTACACAATTTAATATGTGACTCAAGAGTGTTACCTACTATAAACTGCCTGCGTTTACGTCCTTCTGGAAATCCATCCAATGGATTGAACACTGGTCCGGTAAAAATATCAGGCATGGACTTTGGGTCCCTGTAAGTTGCAAGTACGTGACCCATTGGGTTGAATAGATACGGACACCAAGTTTTCAAAGGTGCCGCGGAACCGGTGTATTTGTATTGCGTACGCATTCACTCCTCAGCTTTTATTTCTAGGACCTAATGTAAGAAGCTGAATTGGTCCTTGACTCTACACTTACGGCAGCTTAAGGTCTTCCCTATCTCGTGAATGATAAAGTTTATTATAAAGCTAAAAAGAGAAAGAGTTTAATACCAGGACCCATTTTACTTTTCAGATTCAGATGATGAGGATAGGGGGATCTTGTGACCTGTGTTAATCCTTGCAATATATATCTCTGCAGAGATCTAGCTTCTCTTTGAAAGCGTCCACCCATGGAGCTGATACTACTGAATCAGGTAAGGAGTTCCAATCGTTGACCACTCTGTGAGAGAATCTAAATTCTGCACGTATTTTAATTGTCCTCGGTTTGAGCACCTTTTTGCGGTGACCCCGTAAATGTATCCTAGAAGGGGAGAAAAGGTTAGAAAGGTCAGTTCCTAAATCACCCTTAAGTATACGGTATGCTAAAATTAAGTCGCCTCTCTTCCTTCGGTATGATAACGGGAAGAGATTTAAATGCTCCATCCTCTTATCATAAGGAAGGTGTGAGATACCACTAACTAATTTTGTTCCCACTCTCTGTACTCTTTCCAGAATATGTGCCTCCTTTTTGAAGCATGGACTCGTCGCTTGTATGCAGTATTCTAGATGAGGCCTGACATATGTTGCGTAGAGTATTTGGAACATGCCCTCGTCTAATCGTTTGAAAGCCCTTCGAATTGCCCATAGCATTCGAAAAGCTTTAGCTGCGGCTGCATTGCAATTTGCAGTTGTTTTCAAATCATTGCTGACAATGATTCCTAGGTCCTTCTGTTCGTTAACATCAGGTAGTTCTACGTCCCCTAGGGAGTACGACGTATAAGACTTCTGACCTAAGTGCATTACCGCGCTTTTCCTAGCATTCATTTCCAAACTCCATAGGCTTGACCACTCAGCTAATTTATCTAAATCACTTTGTAGGGCCGACCTATCCTCGTTATTGTTTACAGTTTTCCATATCTTAATGTCATCTGCAAATAATAATGAAGATGAAGAAAGAATCCCTGGTAATTCGTTAACGTATAATAGGAATAGCAATGGACCTAATACAGTTCCCTGGGGCACTCCACTGGATACTGCTTTCCATCCTGATAGTACACCATTAACTCTAACCTTCTGCCTTCTATCCATTAAGTAATCTCTAAACCACTCACATAGGCATTGGTCTAGTCCGAAACCTTTCAGTTTACTAAGGAGACCTAAGTGGGATACTTTGTCGAACGCCTTGCTAAGATCAATAAAAACCACGTCCAACAGATGGTTTTTATCTCTGGCCTCAACCCAGTCTTCCCTAGCCAATAGTAGGTTTGTCAAGCAGGATCGTCCTGGTCGGAATCCATGCTGTTCCACAGCCAACAAGCCATGTGTTTCAACATAAGCTAATAGTTGATCCCTTATAATAGTTTCCAATACCTTTGCAATAATGCATGTCAGACTTACCGGCCTGTAGTTAGATACCAATTGCCTATCCCCGTCCTTGAAGATAGGGCTTATAATGGCATCCTTCCAGTCCCTGGGTAGCTTAGCCTGCGTCAGAGACATTTGGAAAATCTCCGTAAGCGGAATATATATTATATCCGCCAAGGAAATTAACAGTATAGGGTGAAGTCCATCCGGCCCAGGTGATTTACCTGGCTTCAGTTTAGACAGTAGTCTGAGAACCTTTGTGTGCTCTACCACAATTGAGGGCATCTGAGTGGCGATGGCAGTGACCTCGCCATATCCCTGGGTGGTACTATCAGACGAGAAGACGTCACAGAAGTATTCAGAGAGGTTTTCAGCCTTTCCTTCGTCTGACTCAGCCGCTTCTCCACTAATGGTTATGAGTGACGGTATACCACTGCTAGTTTTAGTCCTACGTTTAATATACGAGTAAAACCTTTTTGGGTAATGAACGCAATCTAGTACTAATCGTCTCTCGTACTCTATACGACTCTTGTTAATCGCATACTTACAGAGGTTTCGAATTTTGCGGTAGTCTTTCTGGAAGTTTTCCCTTCCTGTCATAACAAATTGGTCCCATAAGTTCTTTCGCCGTCTTAATAACCTCCTTATTTCACTAGTGATCCAAGGTGGTTCATGCGACGGCTTTCGAGGAGTGTACCAAGGTATAAAAGGTGAAGTGACACAATCTAGTGTATTCCTAAATCCTACCCAAGCTTCCTCGACAGTCCGACTTGTATCAACTGACCAGTCAACCGCAGTTGCTGCGTTCCGGATTCCTTGTATATCCGCTTTCCAAATGTTTGGACGAGCAGATTTTGGCCTGTGCATGAGAGAATGAATCCTAAACGTAAAAGCAATGACTATGTGGTCACTGCTGCCAAGCGGCGGAAGGCACCTAATGTTACCAACGTCCTCCTTCTGGTGTGTCAATACCAAGTCTAGAGTAGATGGATCATGTTCAGGGTGATACCGTGTTGGTGCATGCATATGTTGCACGAGTGCACATTCAAGCACTGTCAATGTGAGCTCCCTATTGAAACAGGTATACAAACTAGTGGAGTTTAATTCCCCCCAATTAATATGTGGAGCGTTAAAGTCGCCAACAATCAGACACCTATTTCTACTACCCCACGCCCTCAAGTGATTTAGAACGAAGTCATCAGCTTGGCTAGCAGGACTTCTGTAAATAACTCCGATCGTTAAAGTGCCTTTGTTTAAGTTAATGATGCAACTTGCGGCTTCACTGGTGCCGCTGTCATGAGCTTCTGACAACGTTGACCTGATCCCTATGTCATCCCGGATGAATAGAGCAACCCCCCACCTTTCCGACTACTTACTCTGTCTGCTCGTATGCAGATATACCCAGGTATGAGTGGGGTTAAGTCTGCACCCACTAAAAACCATGTCCCAGTGTTAGCAATCACATCAGGTTGTAGTCTTTCAGGTAATTCTCCTAATTCGGCGAGCTTATTCCTAAGACTGCATGCGTTCGTATAACACACCAAAACACCTACGTCTTCATCCGGCTTATGAAGAGAGGTCTCAGCAGCATCGGTTTCCGAGACCTCACCATTTCAGCATTATCTTTTAAATCCCACTGTTATGTGGGTTCAGGTACTTTTGACATTGTTCTAGAGTGCTGTTTCAGAACTTATGAGGACCACAGACGTTTACTAATCGATTTATTTTCTGTTGATACAGTGATCGAAAGTTTTAAGAATTGGTCCTAACTAATTAAATTAATACTCCATAAAAGTCTAACACTTGTGACAGGAGCTCGTTTTCTTCCCCTAAATGAGTCTAAATGTTCCATGGAGCCAGTAAACCAGTGTTACTACATCCACTAGGCAAGGAGATTTATAGCCATTTTGACACAGTTGGGTTTCTTATTATGTTTATGCAATACCTCGTTTGTAACTCTCCGAGATTTTCCTAATTGGGACTTCTCAATAGTAGAGATTTACGAATAATGCTGAGGATAAAAATTGTTTTGGACTGTCCAAAATTTGATTTCTAATCTCTGCTGTTTCACTGTGAGTAGTGTTAATATTTTTAGCACTGGTTTTATTAAGAAGCCTGCAAATGTGGGCCGTGCACAAAGGCATCCTACACTGAGACTTACGTAAACGATTTTTCATCGACTGGACACTAGATTTCGAATAAGAGGATTGCATCACCACTAAGTCTTTGTAGATGTAGGTAATTACCCAGAATGGTTAGCCACAGCATTCATCAGTGAACATTGTATACTGACCCTCACTGCTTAAGTCAACTTGTTTAGCTGAAGGCTTGCGGTCAAGCATCCACGCTATTTGGAACTCCATTTTGTTGCGTTCGTTCGTGTACGATCCCTAGCTTAACATATTTATTTTCTAATATTAAATAAAAATTTTCCATTCGCTGTAGCGAATGGAGCAATCACCCTGCACTTCGATTTGGCCCCGAAATGTAAGTCGAAATTTGGACGATCCAATCTGGTGTTTTGCTGTGTCTTTGGTCTATGCGGAACGAATACTATAGAAGTTGTGGGTATCAGATATTGCGTAGGCATATTTCGTACTATCCGTTAAGGTTGACACCCTAAGCCTCTAAGCCTTTAACAAATGCAACTATTAGTCTGCTGAAGCAAATATTCTGAAATTACTTTCGAAAATCCCTGTTCAGTCCTGTGGGCGTAGACGAAAAATAATAGTTTTTCAACGTATGCTTATGAGTTGGGAAAAACAGTCTCCTTGATAAAAATTATAATGCGACTGGTGAAAATTTTTTATCTGTCTTGGGCGCTTAATATCTCATCCACTGAACAGATGTGACACGTTCACTTATAACACATCAGTGCATGTTTCGTATCCATATCTGTTAACCTAATTCGGTAGTAGGCCCAAGTCACCGCAGCGACGTCCGCCTATTATATCATGACCACACTATTGGTCAAAAGCAAAATACCCGGTATTCTGGTGTGAACAGTGAATTTCACAGCTGGTGGGCTACCGTGAATTAGTAACAATACTAGGTCTGTCGGATTAGTGCGTACATTAAACACTGCATATCACTTGTCAGTTGACCATTCAACTGAGTGCTGTTATTGTCAACGCATTTCCATAATGCTGGATACGAATACAACTACATTGACCTGAGCTTCGTTTTTGTTTTTCTCAGCGTTCTCCCAGCAGCTAAAACTCGGAACGTCGTATTTGTCCTAAAACTTATCACTCCGAATATTGCACATCACTCACCTCCAAAGTTCGTCCTTGTGCTTGCAGTAACGGTCCAAAGGAGCAGATTTTTATATGATCCGTCGATGCTTAATTAGATAGACACCAGGAGAGTAGGATAGAAATCTGCTAAGTCTTTATCTGCGCTATCCTATTTCACCGGGTGAAGAAGTCATGCATGAATGGTGCTATGTCTCAGTTATATGCGTATCATTCTCTTTAAGTCTTAGATACATTGACTGGTTGTGAATTAGGACACAACTGGAGAGCCAAATAAGGACAACAATAAAAGGGTACAGAATGCGGAATTT